ACCAGGTTTGCTAACGTAGAAGGGCAGTGAAAAAGAGGAAAGCCCTCAAAGAGATGGATTGACTGCAACAATGGGCACACGCAGAGGAACAATAGGAACAATTGTGAGGATGGCATAAGAGCAGGCAGTGTTTCATTTGAGATAAATCCCAATATGAAAAAACAAAACCCAAAACAAAAAAAAAACACATAAAATTTGGAAAACCAGATCAGGCCTAATGTTCATCAGAGCAGGGATCAGCTGACAAGATTGTAATCATTCAAGTCAGGTGTAACATTTTATCTCAGATGTATTTTGTCATTGGGGGTAACCCTCTTGAATTTGTATTGTATGTTTTTCTGCTTTTCGGGGTACGAAACCCAGGATTGATAAAGGTATAGAGACGGTAAGTAGAATAATATCCTGGTGGGTAAAGGAAGGGAACAGGAGAGAGGGGAAATGTGTGTAAAAGGGAGCTGATACCAAGGAGTTCAAAAAGGAAGATTATATTTTGAAACTGATTGCAGTATCAACTGTACAACACTGTTCGATGTGACTGAACTATGATGGTATGATTGTCTGTATTAGCTGCCAATAAAATGGTTTTGGGGGGAAAAGAGGTAAAGGGTAAAGAAGTAAAGATAAAAGGTAAAGAGGATGAGAAAAATTAAGTGCGGGACTTCCTCTTTTTTGCTCCCCTCCACTTTTCCAAGCATGATGTCCTCCCCTCCAGGGACTAGTCTCTCCGGACAACATGCACACAGTACATGAGATTGAAGTCTCCCCATCCTTGTCTCTCAGTAGCATCCGACCATACTTCTTCCAAGGCAGGTGTTTGTTCTTCAGTCATGATATTTTCAATATTCTTTACTAGCACCGTAATTCAGATGCATTGATTCTTCTTTGGTCTTCCTTATTCAATGCCCAACATTCACATGGATACGAGGTGATTGAACATCCTGTAGCTTGGCTCAGGTGTACCTTAGTCCTCAAAGGTATTTGATTTTGAACAATTTAATGAGGTCTCGTGCAGCAAATTTACCCAATGCAATGTCATTTGATCTCTTGATTGCTGCTTTCATGAGCATTGATTGTGGATTCAAGCAGATGAAATCCTTCACAACTTTAATATTTTCCTCATTTATCATGATGTTTTCTATTAAATTCACTTATAATGTTTGTATAGTCTATGCTTAAGAATAATGCAGTATAGATCTATTAGAGATTCATCAAAAGTATCATGCAGCACTTATGCCAACATGCTAGGGTCTCCCCAAACAAAACAAAACAACTCTTAGTGACCCTATAGGACAGACAGGATAGAACTGCCCATTAGTTTCAGGGTCTAAGACAGTAACGTTTAAGGGAGTAGATAGCCCCATCTTTAACCAGCAAAATGGCTAGTGTTTTCAACTGGTGGCTCTTGGGATCACAGCCCAATGCATAACCACTATGCTCCCAGGGCACTTCTTAGAGTTCTTGAAAAACTTTTACCCAGTCATCAATGGAACTGCGTTTCCTAGTCTGATAGAGATTACGGCCCTTATTCACCTTGAGGTCTAGAGCCGAATGCTCCCTCATGTTAGACTAATCCATCATTTCAGTTCTAAAGGACAGCTTTTATCCATGGGCAAAGTACAGAAAGCTAGGAAAAAGGAGGACTATCAAGTGGACACCCAGGGAGAATGTGGCATATGTAATGGTACTTTGAAGGCATTGCAACCGATGAGTTTAAACAAAAGGCATATTCACTGTTAAATTTAAAACTGGAGACTTGCACTGTAAACCTCCACTTAATTCAAAATAAAAAGCTAAAATAAAATATAACCTGTGACCGACCACCTGCCTTTGTATTACTATGCCACACATTTTAGTCTAACATGTATTTTAAATCTTTAAAGATAGCTATTATCCTGATTGTTGTTTGTATTATAATATTTCTGATCTCTCTGGCTGCTTTTAAGGGTTTTTAAAATTATTATTAGGTCTTTGGTTTTCAAAAATCGGCTCTGATTAGTCTACGTGTTATTTGGGGGCGTATTTCTTGCATAGAGTTTGGAGCGTTTCTTTAAAAATATGGTTTCATGTTCTTCATCACTGAAAACAAAATCAAATGCATTGCCATAAAGTTGAGTTTAACTCACAGCAACTCTATAAAACAGAGTAGCACTTCCCCTGTGAGTTCAAGAGACTGTACACCTTTACAGGAGTGGAAAGCCTCATCTTTCTCTCATGGAATGGCTGGTGGTTTTGAACTGCTGACCTTATGGTTAGCCACTCAATACATAACCCACTGCACTATCTGTTTGGGAATATTCTAACCTATTATCTCTGTACAGCTACACACAAATGTAAGTCAGAAGGTATTACTACTATGGCTCCAGTTCATCCATGTACATCCTTATCATAATCAAAATATGTTTAAGCATGTCTCTATGAACAGTGCAGGTATGCAGACAAATGTCCACAGTACAATATTTATCTTCGTCTTGTTAGGGTGTTGCTGTTCTAAACAAGACCCAGCGAAGGCTGCAGCTTCTGAGAGATCTGCTGGGACAATTGAATTCAAGGAGGAGAGGTCAAAATAGTGGGTCCTGTTTGGGGGGAATTCTCAAGGGACACTTTGAAAAGATTTTTTAAAGGCATACATGACAAAAACAGGAACTTAAGAAGAAGAAGGTTTATGAAAATTGAAAACTGCACTGATAAGGAAAAGGCCAAGAGGTGAGCTGGGGGATTTTATTAATTTTTTCATTACAACAATGCACCTGTTCCTTACCTCTGCCACCCTACAACGCTAATCTTGCCTTTTCAGACTTCTTTTGGTTACCAAAAGCAAAGAATATTTTAAAGGAACAGGACTGAAGTCCCTCAAGGAATGTCAAGACTGGCCTTTTGACGTGGTGTGAACTAAAGGAGGCTGGATTCTTCAGGAAAGGTTTGGAGAGATGAAAAGTTCACCTTCAGGCCGGTACAGGCCTAGATGAAGGATAAAGCTTCACATTTTGATATTTGTGTTTAATAAATAATTCGAAGATTCTTTAGCAATATTTTTGACATATTTTCCTATATACTTCATGTTTTGAGTATGTTACGAGTCATTTCCCCAATTTCAACACCTCCCTGTGCTTCAATGTGGATAATTTTCAACTCACCCGTCTTCTCGTTCACTAGCCTCTTCTACTCATGCTAATCTTCTATAAAACCCCTTAATGGTGGCTTCATTTCCGGGATGAAAATTATCAATGATATAATTTCCACTTGGCTTTTCTAAAAGCAATTATAATTCTCAAACTTCTATGTTATATATGGATTTAGTATTTTGCAGGTGTTTCCATAACATTACCTTAGCTATGTCATGTGCTGGCTCTGATATTTGGATCTCCAGAAAGTCTACTTCTTTCACGTGCACACACACACACTTTCTCTTGGTGTTGCTCTTGTGAATATGACATGTTGTTAGACTGAGGTTTTTCCCGGCACAATTTATTTTTGGTCCTTGATAGGCTCTGAATTGACAACTCGAATCACTTAGTGAGGCATCCTCCTCTAGCAGGTCTAAAATCTAGTCTTTGTCTCGTCAATGCCACAAAATTACAAGACAGCCCATTCTGCTTTACACAGCTTTTCTGTTTAGAATTTTAACTAAGTGAGATTAAAAATGAGAAAATAGCAAATACTAGATAAAATCTTGAGATCAGATATCGTTCCTAGCTACAATGATAAAGAAACTTTAATAAACAAGGTGATATTTGGACAGGAACTTGCAAATTATTGCTATGGTGCAATAAGATATATCATGATTTACTCATTACCTTAAGAGAGAAACTGAATATTGCTCCATATTCATTTCCACCACAGCCCAAAATTTTTGAAGAGTATCAGAAACAAGGATATTTTCTTTTGTGTCTAAAGAAATAGTAAATAATAACATTAGGAAAGCAGTAAGTTGCCTGAAAGACCACCTTTTTTCCCCAAAATCATTTTACTAGGAGCTAATACAGACATTATACTATTCCACAGTTCAATCATAGCAAACAATGTTGAACAATTGCTACCAAAATTGGTTTCAAACACCTTCCTCCTTCTGGCACTCCTTGATATCAGCTCTCCTGTACCACCACCCCCATGTCCCCAGCCATGCCCCCCAGGAACCCCGACTCTAGTTATTATCTTTACAGATTCACCTCTCCTAGGTTTCATGTACCAAAGCACACAGGTTCAGGAATGGACTTGGGGCTCACACTTAATCCTAGCTCCAATCTAAGAACATTCAGCTCTCACAATATGGTTCTGTTTTATACTTGCCCTGGTGAAGGAAACACAGAAGACACAGGTACTAGGAAAGACCATCTTGATCAAAACCATTACTTTACAGATCAAACTTGGAACTCAGAAATAGCGTGATGTACAAAGTCATTGCCTTTGTTATCCACAAAACCATGTTTAAAATCTAGAACTGTCAATCCCCAATTGGGGAGTTCTGCTCACCAGAGTGTGCTGCATTTCCTTTCATCTTTAGTTTTAAAAAAGCATAAATCATTCTTCGATCTAAATGAAGACAATCATCGAGGAGCTAGAAGATCTTCTAAATCCCAAAACTTATTCAAGAAAGATCTTATTAATAAGAACAGATACTACACTTGATCTTAGCCAAAAGGCCGAGAAGCAATAAATCCAAGGATATATATGGTAGCCAACTAAAAAGGGGGGTGGGAGGGGACAAAAATAAAAAAGACATGGGTAGCAGGGGAATGGGGCACTAAGCCACCCAAGGGGAGGGTATTATTTACATCTCCACAGAGAAAGAGGGGGACCAGACTTCGATCCGGTACTCCAAGACGTGAATGCAGCATACATGCATGAAGCAGGGAACTAATAGAGAGCTCTGAGGGGCCGGCCCCAATCCCAACTACCTGGACAGCTCCCCTCCCTGCAGAAGAATTCACTTCAGAAAATAGCATTGAAGCTACAGTTCAGGGAGAGGGACACTTCTGATTAGAGCACACAGGAGCAAATGAAGGGGGAGGAAGAGAGAATGGAACACATCCTGACCCACCAAGCCCTGAGGATAATATTCCCACTCAGAGGAGCCAAAGCACAGAGAGGACCATAGGTCCGGCCCTATGATTTAAAAAAAAAGAAAGTTCTTATTTCAGACGCACACACACACACACACACACACACCATACACAACAAAACACACACAAAATACATCCAGTTTTGTTGTTTTTTCTTAAAGAAGTGGTGGATAGAATTCCACTAAAGTTTAATCATTATTCATACATAGGTAAAAAATAGCAATGTTTCTGTAAGCCAGATTATATAGGTAATATAGGTTTTATATATATAATTACATAGTTAAAACATAATGAAAATTTTATAATTTGGCAAGAAAAATGCAAATCTAAAAAAAGTACAACCTCAAACTTAATATCAGAAACTGACATTCTTTTTCTGCTTTTTCTTAACTTTCTTCATAGCAGTTACCTCTATCTGAAATAGATTTCTTTTTTTAATCATTTTATTGGGGGCTCATACAACTCATCACAATCCGTATATCCAACCATTGTGTCAAGCACATTTGAACATTTGGTGCCAACATCATTTTCAAAACATTTTCTTTTTACTTGAGCCCTTGGCATCAGATCCTCATTTTTTCCCTCCCTCCCCCATCCTCCCTCCCTCATGAACCCTTGATAATTTATAAATTATCATATTTTCATGTCTTACACTGACCGATGTCTCCCTTCACCCACTTTTCTGTTGTCAATCCCCCTGGGAGGGGGTTTTATATAGATCATTGTGATTGGTTCCCCCTTCCTCCTCCACATTCCCTTTACTCTCCTGGTATTGCTACTCTCAATATCAGTCCTGAGGGGGTTATCTGTCCTGGATTCCCTGTATTTCCAGCTCTTATCTGTACCTGTGTACATACTCTGGTCTAGCTGGAATTGTAAGGTAGAATTGGGATCATGATAGTGGGGGGGGGCGAGGAAGCATTAAAAAACAAGAAGAAAGTTGTATGTTTCATTGGTGCTATACTGCACCCTGACTGGCTCGTCTCCTCCCCACGATCCTTCTGTAAGAAGATGTCCAGTTGCCTACAGATGGGCTTTGAGTTTCCACTCTGCATTCCCCCTCATTCACAATGCTATGATCTTTTTGTTCTGGGTCTTTGATGCCTGATCACATCGACACCTTGTGAGCACACATGCTGGTGTGCTTCTTCCATGTAGACTTTGTTGCTTCTCAGCTAGATGGTCGCTTATTTATCTTCAAGCCTTTAAGACCCCAGATGCTATATCTTTTGATAGCGGACACCATCAGCTTTCTTCACCACATTTTCTTATGCTCTCATTTTGTCTTCACCAATTGTGTCAGGAAGGTGAGCACCATGGAATGCCAGGTTATTAGAACAAAGTGTTCTTGCATTGAAGGAGTACTTGAATAGAGGCCCCATGTCCATCTGCTACCTTAATATTAAACCTATAAATATATGTACATAAGTCTATTTCCCTATTGTTATTCTTAATATATTTACTTTTCTACTGTCTGCCTACCAGGAGCCTTGGGGACATACTGTCCATGTGTTGGGCAGAGATGCACAAGGTCAGCAGTTTGAAACCACCAGCTCCTCCAAGGGAGAAGGATGGGGACCCTGCTCACATAAAGAGTTACAGTCTTGCAAACTCACAGGGCCAGTTCTACCTTGTCGTATGGGGTTGCTATGAGTTGGCATTGCCTCAATAGGAATGAGTTTGGTGTTTGGTTTGGTCTGCCTACTACCACCAAAACATTAAATTTATCAGAGAAGAGAGCATTTCTATCTCATTGACTATTATAAGGTCAGAATTTTGAACAGTGCTGTGCAGACAGTTAATCAATACATATGTATTGACTTAAAAATGCAAATACTAGTAGTATATTACTATCTGACTCAAGGTTTTCAGCTTCTGAAAATCACTGTATGACCTTTGACTACAGTATTTTAAAAAGCAAAATAAATTTCCATATACTTAATTTGATGAATATATTATTTCTCTAATTCTAAAAAAATCTAAAAATCTGGAAACAATTATATTTTCTATTAAGCACCGCAATGTGACTGCAATTTAGTTTTGTATCTGTTTTTATGCTTTCGTGTGTCTGCAGTTTCTCTGCTTAGGTGGACATTTTTATTACTGTCATTCAGTGTCTCAAAGAGACAAGTGTTTGAACAAAATGTTTCAATAAGTTCAATCCTCCTGAGAAGAAGGCTTTTCTTAACAAAATATCAATGGAAAACACAGGTTGAAAATGACTGAATATAATTTTTGCCTCTGCAGTATTTTACTTTAAATGGACAAATTATACACTCATATTTTATATAAAGTATTGTGTTTCATATTTTTAAGTGTTTTACTGCGGAAATGATAGAATATGAAAATGTTTTCTGCCTTCTGTGTGTGTGCCACTAAGGATGCCGATGGAAGTATCTTTCCTCCCTTCATTCATTCCTTTGAACGATGGTTTTGAAATCGACAAACAGCTATGACGCAGCTAGAGCTGACCGAAGAAACACTCTGCTTGTCTCTAGGGGCTTGTACAGAAAAAGATCAGCTCCTTGTTTTGAAAGAGCTCATGAAAAACTGGGGAAATGTAGCTGGCATTCATTTGTTAATTCGATTAGTCCTTCATTCTTTCAGTGAGCATTTATGGTGGGCTCACTAACATTGTCTGGGACAAACATTGTCTGGGAAGGAAAGAATTCATATGCTGACACCTTGAAAATAATTAGCCAACCCAGAAAGCAGGCTGTCTCTAAAATACTTTTCACTAGCACACATTCAGCCAATATTTGTCCTTCTGCATGGACGTTCACTTTATGAATGTTTGAAAAATCATACCTGGTGTTCTGGCTTTCAATAGTAATCTAACATAAGTTCCTCTCCACATGGACTGAATTTTAATTGCAGCCGCTACTTCCTCGGGAGAATATACTTTCTCAGAAACTGGTGAAGAATATTTAATATCTACCCATTCGGCTGGAAAGAAAGCAAGAAGACGGGGGTGGGGGGAGCGTTTGGGTTGGAAGTTAAACATTCATCTCTTACTCAGCTGGGGTTGCCTTCAGCTAATAGATCCCACTCTATCAAAGCTCACAATGATAGACTTAGCATGATATTTAGCCTTGCCCACTTCCAGGGGTCCTTTCATTGAACATCAATATGGGAGAGCAGCACATTAAGGAGCCACACCTGGCTGCACTACAGGTGTCTTTGTGAAAGTAGCCAGAGGGATTGCTCAAAAATGAGAAGGAACATCAGTGGAAGGACACAACTGGAATGTTACCAGGATCAGAATATCATCCCAGAATTCTCAAATCATACCACATATGGGTAGATCAATGCATTTCAGAATTTTTTAAGGACATGGAAAAATAAAATTAAATCTGGGGTTTCCTTGCTGAAAGATGTGTGGCAGGCAAAAGGGGCAGGGGATTCACAAGAGCCTCTTAGAACACGCGAGTCCCACTGAGCTTAGTCTGAGCTTCACCTCGCTGGAGGCAGTCTCGTTCGACCCATTCCATGGAAACCTTATGTATACTTTTCTCAGCTTATTCATCTTTTATAAGGCTAGGGATTCCTTGATCAAATAAAATCTAAAATTAATTCATACCCAAAGAGGTCTCTTCCAAGAGGGATTCGAGTAAATCCAAATCCAAAACCAGAGCACGAAATGCAAACTTGATGTTCGAAGGAGCTTTCATTATTTGAACTTTTTTCATTAAGCGCCACAAAGAAAGATGAAAGACCTAGAAAATTTAAAATATATTCATGATTTGTTTAAGCCAAGACATGCGATTACCTAACCAGAAGAGCATTTAAAAAACTCTAAAATTAAAATACACACACAAAATTAACTGAAGACCATTCATCTTACTTGACCAGTTAAGAGACCACCAAAATTACTTCTCACTTATCAATTCCCAATTCAGTAACATTTAATCACTACAGCCATGTTTAAAATGCATAATCAAACATAACATTAAACCAGATGAAAACGTATGGAGTAAAATGCAAACATGGCCCTGGGTCTCAAGATAAAGGCCATATTTACTGTTTCCAAGGTGTCATCCATAGCAAGACACACCATTATTCCACTGCTACCAAGGAAAAAGAAAATACGCTACTTGGAGTTTTTAGTCACTATTTTTTTTTCCATAATGAAAACATTCTTTTATACTTATTTAGACATACCTTTTTCATCATCTCACTCCTTGCCATTGAGTCAGTTCTGACTCATAGCAATCCTACAGGGCGGAGTGGAACTGCCCCTGCAGGAGCCTTTCAATATAAACATTGATTTAGGGCTTCTCTTATGAATAATGGTGGCCTCTAGAAATCCCTTTGTATATATTCTTTTTTTTTTTGGCTTCTTCTTGTATGTGGTGTAGTGGGTTATGTGGTAGGCTGCTGACCACGAGGTCCACAGTTCCAACCCACCAGCCACTCCTGTGGAGAAAGATGAAGCTGTTTGCTCTTAGAAAGATTTTACAGCCTTGGAAATCCCTGGAGGCAATTGTACTCTGAGAGATCATTAATCAGAAGTAACTTGATGGCAGATTTTTTCCCCTTTAAAAAGCTGGACCATAATACAACTGAGTCCGTTTTGATTCGTAGATAGCCTGTAGAACAGAACAGAACTGCCCCTGTGGGTTTGCAACGCTATAACTCTTCACAAGGGCAGAGAGCATCATCTCACAGAGCAACTGGTAGGTTTGAATGGTCAACTTCGGGGATAGCAGCCTGATGCATAACCCGTTATATCATCCGGGCTCTTAAAATGCCCTAAATAATTCAACATCTGATATAAAAATAAGACAAATGCATGTCAAATGTAATTACAACAAAAAATAAAGTTCTACTATTATCAAGTTCAAAATCACACTTTCTGACTCCTGTTCACGGGAGAGAGAAATAAGGATGACTTGGTAATGTGGCCAGGGTTTTTAATCCTTCTACCAGCTGACTTCAGATTCGCCTGCACCAAATTCTTACATTCAAAACAAAAATTAAACTTTTAATTTTAACTCTTCACATTTAGGAAAGATGATCTGATAAAAAAAATAAAGGCCTTCCAAAGGAAAACAGAAGCAATATGATTTTGAAAACATGGGGTTTCTGTTACAGGATTAGCAACTTTTATATCTCAATGGCTCACAAAATCAACATTCATTTTCTCTGTCAAGGGCCCCCGGCCTGGATCCACTGGGTCTGGCTAGAAGCTGTGGGTGGGGTGTGCTCCAAGCATTTCTCCACGCCTCTTCAGCCAGTGGCAGTGCCAGGGGATGAGGCATTCTTCTCATGGCAGAGCCAAGCTGTGCAAGTGCACCCAGGCCTCTGAACCTTTCACGCTCACTGGCATTCTACTGAGCACATTGCCTCAGTGACCTGCCTCAAAGTCATCAGGAAATCCATCCGACCCATAATGAAGTTAAAGCAAGGGCACCAAAGTATACTGCTGGTAAAAGGAAGGCATGAAAAATTGAGGAAAACAACCCAGTCTATCATGGGAAATGAAATAATAGTTTGATTACAAAATAATATTGTAGCCAATAGCAGGAAAATGAACTGTCACAACATCCATCAATATGGATGATTCTCAAAAAATAAAAAAGAAATATAGAACAAAAGATATACTTCCCAAAGAATGAATCCAGTTTGGTTAAATTACATAATTGTACATAAAAGTTAGATGGCATATATTTCTATATACCCATACAAAGGAGTTGAAATGATAAACTATATCCAAGAATGGGAAATTAAAATTTAAAGAGAGAGCATTTGGCAGTCACACCTGAAAGTTAATTGTAGCAAGGTGGATGGATTTATTACATATACTGATGTGATGGCAGTGCAGGTGGACTACATTTTCCACAAAGGAGGAAAGGAAACTCCTTCTGCTTAAGCAGTAAGAATGTACAAATAGGGTGGGCACAAGGAAGGCCCACATTCATATCAGTAAGAAGCTGCACGTGGTCCTAAAAACCAGTTCAGCCAATAGATGTTGAGACGTAGTGTCATAGGGATTAACCAGACCCTGCAATAACACTGGGCAGGCAAGTGAACTTGCTTATGAGCTGTGAGGAGAACACAACTAGTATAAGGGCATCGTAAGGTCAGAAGAGCATATGGAGAGCCTTGGTTGCACATAACAAGCTAACAAGCCATGATATTTGCTAGAGGTGATGCATACAACTTATGAAAATATTGCTTCACTTGTGCCATAAATGATCACAAGCATGTGGGCAGGATGCTGAACTCAGCCATTTTGTCTCCGCTGAGTAAAGAGGAAGCTGAGTGTACTGGAGACAATATCTTGCCATCAATACGTATATTTAATTTTGTAAAGTCCTTAAGGAACTGTGACATTTTCCAGAGTCACTGCACACTGAGGTCAGGGACACATCCAGACCCATTAAGACTGGTTATGGGCGCTTCACTGGGAATTATACTAGAAGATCAAGAGAGTCATCGGAGTACCTTGATGGAGTGGGGGGTTAGGGAGGGCAGGTGAGAAAGAAAGGCCTGGTCTATCTAGGATATTACATGCTGGATTCAAAGAGTCTACAAACTACAATGTGGCCCTTTCCTAAGGTTCCCATACAGATAACTGTGATAAATATAATTGATTGTTGACAGAACTTTCATGTTGTTCTCTGATGTATAGACTAAGAGCCACTACTGAGAAAAGCCAACAGGCATCCCCTGAAATTGTCTCATACTGGCCAGGACATACCATGAGCTGGGGTAGCATAGTTTAGCAATATTAAAAATAATATAAAGGATATAAGGATAACTGCCTCAATCATATCACCATTTGCATGTTCTCCCATAGCAGAACATGTAATCCTAGAATCGCAATGAGTAGTCCCCAAAGCAGTAATACTGGGAAAGGGAGCTGGCACATAAGTGCCTCAATCTTCCCATCCATCAGTGGACCCTTCTGAGGGATGTCCCACTGAGTCTTTTCAAATCCCCAGGATGGCGTAGCCCACAGCAGTAATTTTTGCTCATGATCACAACCTTTAATAATTTAGTCTTACTTTATTGTTCTTTCTTCTTCATCTACCCTTGAAATCACTGACTAAATAAATTATCTCCACCCAAATTCTTGCCCGGGCTCTTCTATTCGGGTTACCTAATGTAAGACATAGGAGCCCTTTTGGTGTAGTGGTTATGGTTTGGGCTATGATCTGCAGGGTGCACAGTTCAAAACCACCAGGTGCTCCATGGGAGAAAGATGGGGCTTTCTACTCCCATTAACTGTTGCAGGTTCAGAAACTCACAAGAGCAGTTCTACGATGCCCCTATAGGGATGCTACAAGTTGGCATTGACTCAATGGCATTGAGGGGGGTTTTTTTTGGGGGGGTTGAGAGGGGAGTTTAATGTAAGATATACCATTTCAAGTCAAAAGCATCCTTCCCCAAACATCATAACCCCAACATACTTACCCTGAAGTGTTGAGCAGTTAGTTCTTTATCCTGGAGGGCCACAGGATAGTGAGCTGCCTTCAAATCCTTCAGTGCTGCATTGAGTTTAGCCTTATCTTTGAAATTAGCAATCACATTCCCAATAGCTTTCATAATTATTAGAGACTGTTCCGTAAATCGGTAGCTCTCCTGTGATGATAAATCATAGCATACACCCTCATTTGGGTTTACTTACGTGTATTTGGGTTTACAAAAAATACCAGCTGCTAAAACAGTAAGTGTTTGCTACAGTGTTTATTCCTTGGGGTAGTAGTGGTTTGGAGTGTCACCAGTTGCCACAAGTGATTAAGCACTGAACTACCACTGGAAGGCTGGAGGTTCAAGTCTACTTCAGAGGGACCTCTATGGGAGAGGCCTAGCAGCCTACTTCCCATAGAACTCCCTTGAATGCCCAAAGGGGCAGTTCTACTCTGTTCACTGAAGCTTCTATGAGTCAGAATCAACTGAACAGAAACTAACAAGAAGGCAATGGGGCTCAGTGGTAGAATTTTTACTTTCCATGTTGGACACCTGGGTTCAATTCCCATAGGTGCAGCCACCATCTATCACTGGAAGCTTGTGTGTTGCTATAATGCTGAATAGGGTGCAGCAGAGTTTCCATCAAAAGACAGACTGGGAAGAATGGCCTTCCCCAAACCAGGATATGGAAAAGCCCCTGACCACAGACCAGGGATGTGAACAGTCCAGCTATCTTGCAGAAAGCATTGGAAAGTGGATGACTTACAGAGGCAGCTAGGATAAAATTTGGAAGCATATCATTTATTTGATCTCCCTTTTGACCCATTTTAAATTTTTATAGTTTTTAATAGTTTCTGCTTTCTCTTTGATTAAAGTTTTCCTCCATTTTATTTTAGTTAATTTATCTTTGTTTTCAACACATTTCTTTCTGTATGAAATCCAGAGTAGGTAAAGCTATAGAGACAGTAACTAGATTCATGGTTGCTGGAGAGTATCGCAGAGGCGGCTGGGAGGGAATGGGCAGCTGAAACCCACGAGTAGAAGAAGAAAGAAAATGTTCTAACATTGGTGGTGGGGATGATTGTACAACTCTTCTTAAGATGATGGAACT